CCGTGGCATATAGTTAGTTACATATGGGACGTAATTCTGCCTCAGGTCTTCCAATATTTAATTTTTTTTCCTCTTTCTTTTCTATACCTGAGCTCCCTGAGTTTTTATGTCTCCATGTCTCTCTATCCCAGCACCCGGCACAGTGCCTTGCTCACGGCAGGTTCTGAATGAATATTTAATACATACAAATATACGAATAGCTTTCCTGTGGGAAATATCTTGCTTTGAATGTGTGAGCGTAGATTCGGGACAAGCATCCTAGATCTATGTTCAGGCAGCTTTTATTTGTGCTACCACTCAGGCAAAAGTAAGTCAATTAATCTCTCTGTCTCCGTTTCCTGGCATGTAATGTGGGAATGGGCATGAAAGCCCAAGAGGGTGTTGTGAGATTAATTAGTTAAAATGTATACCCTGCTATATAAATGCTAATTGCTGTCAGGAGCGTGGGTTGGATTTTCCAGTGACTTGGCTTTGGGAGGCTGTGCACATTCCATTAGTCCTCTGTACCACCAAGCCTCAGCCTTAAGAAATCCTTTGGCTGAGGGAAATGATGACTTTGTGGCTCCGCATGTAGAGGGGCCAATTTAGAGAGGACTTCCACTGTGGAGTAAGCTGGATAAGAAGGGACACTCCAAACAAAAAGGTAATTCCCTGTGCCAATAATTTGCTGAATTCCCTTTGCTGTTATTAGAGACAAATCTATTTGCATAACAGCCTTTTCCCCAGTCTTTTCTTCGGCTGAGGCCTGTAGTGAATCATATAATTAATTTGGTATTACATGACACTCCAGCCTGTTGCCATAGATTTTATTTTTATTTGTTCATTGACTAATTTAAAAAGCTCTGACAAAACACCCTCAGGTGGCTGGCGAGGGAGACTTAAAAACTCACAGAAACAAATTTCAAATGGGCAAATACCCCAAAGAAAAAACTTGATAATAATAATAAATAATAATAATAATAATAATACCTTTTCTGGCTAATGTTTAGGAATATTGGTATGTGTGTTTTCAAGCCCTATTGTAGAAGAGGCTGGTTCACTTTATACATATGTTTATTTGGCCCATGGAACATTCTGTAAGGGAGATACCTAGCAGGTGTAATGATTTCTTTTTCATTTTAAGATGAATTGCATTTAAATTTATTGAAATGATATTAAGTCTCAGGAATCAGCCAAAAATCCTGTTGATTGATCTGTATTTAATCTTGAGTATGTAAGGGCGTTTAACAAATGCTATTTTAAAATGTGTCTGTGCTTGGTCTATCGAGTTATGTTATAAAAAGAAAATTCTACCTTCTTTTAAAAGTCAAGATTGGAAATGCTAGTTACTATAACGATGTGTCCCCCAAATCTCAGTGATTTAACACAATAGAAGTTGATTTTTCACTTAACCTGCTCCAAGTGGTGGCAGGGATCCAGGCTCCTTTCCTCTTGTGAGGCTACCCTATTCAAGCTTTTCTGGCCCTCAGGGTATCCATGCGAGGCCAGGAGAAAGCTCAGAGATTATGCTGGGTGCTTCACGTTAAACCATTTCTGGCCTCATTCATTGGCCAGAACCAAATCAAATGGCCCAGTTCAGTTGCTAAGGATGTGTATGCAGTCTCCACATGGGCCAAGGGAGACCAGGGTTCATGGACACTTAGGCAGTCTCAGCCGCACCTGCCCTCGTGGTCACCAAAGTTCCATTTCATCCTTCCTAAATTGGTGAGATGTCACACTAGCTTGTGGTTGAGATGTCACACTAGCTCTCTGTTCATCTCCCTTTTCAACTGTGCGTTCTCCTACTTTTACACAAGAAAAATTGACCTGTCACTTATCATCTCTCTTACTATGAATCATTCCCAGGACTGTAAAGACCTCCAGGGACCAAACAAAGTGACAATTTGTAATATTGGTGTCAGGAAGTCTCCTTTAATCAAAGTACCATTAACCCACAGAAGGACTTCCTCTTTCTCTTCAGTTTACCAGTGTTCCTGTTAAGAGAACCATGGCGTGACACTGCTGTCGACTGGCCCAAGTTGGGGCGATCCAAATTGAGATATATTAGAGAATAGGACTGCAGGGAGAAGGATCATTTTCATTTAATCGCCTTACCTTGACCATCATCCAAATTTGGACAAACAGTGCAGAGCTCATATGAGAGGCACCTTTAGGAACAGCAAGAAAAATATTTTTTATGCAATGCAGAAGGCGGTAGCATCTTTGATTCAGATAACAAACGATACGGTGAAGTTGCAGACACCTCAGCAGCCCAAATGCCTCTTGTTTTCCTTTTCTTTTAGGCAATCACATTATAATTCAAAAGTGAAATGACTGTCATGCCAAAGCATATTGATACAAATTTTGGAATTAAAAAATGAAATGGAGACTTTTTTTTCTAACAGAAAGTAAATACAATTAGGATGGTTAAACACTGAGAATGGCTTTGCCAATTGTGTTGCGTGCCAGATGTGCCCCCCCTTCCTTTCCTACCTTCCTTTTTCTCTCCCTAATTATTATTTTAATGATATTCACAGCAGATCATTCACAGAGATTTTTTTTTAACACCAATATACTAAAAGGCATATACAAAGATAATTATTTTTGCCTGAACTTTGGTCACACCTATTAGCTCTCCTCTTCAGGAGCCACCACTTTTAAGTATCTTATTTATTTCTTCTGGCATTTCCTATCTATATTTTGCTAATCAATTTGTGTATATTGTTATTTTTCATTTAGTCAACCCTGGGCATTATTTTGTTTACTTTTTAATTCTAGTAAATGAGACCTTTTCTGTCTTACATGCCCATCCCCTTGCCTTTCCCTATCTTTGCTCTCTACATACTAATGTTACAGTATTTTGTTGAATCAATAACCAATTAATTAATATGTCTTCACATATTAGTGAATTATGATTATGTTTACTTCCTTATTTTTGGAAGTTATTAATTGCCTTGCCTTCAGATGCTTACTTTGATTTGGATCTTTGGGTAAGTGTTTTTGTATTTTACAATTGCTTTTTAGCATAATTATCCACAGTGCTAATTTCACCAGATAATTTATTAGTTACAATTATAATTATTTTTAATTGGAGATTTCCATTCCCTTCTACTTACACTGGTTCACCTCCAAACCCTGCTGCAGAGCTGTTAGCCTGGGATCTCCTTCATTGTTATTCTGGGGATTTCCTTGCCCTCTCTCTTGAATTGGATCCTCTCTTCCTTGATCCTGTAGTTTGCTTTTTTTTTCCCTCTCATTTTGGTTACAACAAATCCCTCAGAAGCCTCCTGATGAAGAGCATGTGGGAAGGAAAATTACTGAGTCCTGATGTGTCTGAGGATGCCACCTTCACACTTGATTGTTTCCATGGGTTTAGCTTCAAGGTTGGAAATAATTTCCTTCACCTACATTTGCCTCATTATCTACTAGTTTCTGGTCTTGTTTTGGCAACTTCCAGAACCATTCTAATTCCTATCTTTTGTATGTGATCATTTTTTGTGTCTCCTTTCGTACTGTCTTATAGTTTTTAGGATCTTCCCCTTTTCCACAATTTTATAAAACATTTTTGTGGTGTAAGTCTATTTTCAGTGACTTATTTAATTGATAGTTCTCTTCTGTTGTTGTTTTTTTTTTTTTCTATTGCTGTAGAGGCATAGTCTCTGTGCTTTTGTATTTGCCAGGGCAGAAGAAAAGGGAGCGTGATAAAATATGCTCTAGCCCTTAAAATAATCAACACGTGACACTCACTAGAACCTATTGGCCAAAGTCAGTCACATGGCCTCTCCTTCCGAGGGGCAGAAGAGTATATTCTCACACTCTGCCTGGGAAGAGAACCCGGAGATATTGGGTGAATAGCACTAGTGATTCTTCATCTTGGGGCTGGCAGTTCTTTCTGGGTCTTCCCAGTATTCTGAATTGCACATTGGTGTTCTCTAGCTTTCTTTCACCTGCTGGTTTAGGATTTATCTGTTTGAATGGTCTGAACTCATTACAGCTTGTCAATTTTGATATTGTCATTGTCTTCTCTCCTGTTCTTGCTGTTACTTGGGGTTATGTCTTGAAAAATTATTTTAGTTTTAGTGGAGTTTCGGAAAGGAGTGAAAATGGTTGCATATATTCAGTCTGACATATGTATCTGAAAAACTGGTTGTAATTTCCTACAAACTGAATGAGCTGATTCTGCAACTTTGTAGCTTTAATGAAAATGTATTTGAATAAGCTGGTAAGATAGATGTTTTATTTAAAAAATTACTATCATGTTTCTATTGGTGTGAACAACATCTTATCTTCCCAATTCTTTCTTTGCGTATTGGATTTAAAACGTGTTTCTAAATAAAAGCAGAGCAATTATAAATAATAGCAATTTGTTGAGTCTTGGAAAAGCCAGTCTGTTAAATTTCTCAGAGAACTGTTACTTACTTGGGATTTATTGCTTACACATCCTTCTGCAAGTCATAAAGCTTTAAATTCTTTGCTTTTATCAAAATTAAAGTAGCCACAAATTTAGTTGTTCTCTCAATTATCTGCTGCCACAAAAATGTTGCCTTAACAAACAGCCATAAACTTTAGTGACAAACTTCATTTTATTTAGTTCATACATAGTTTTGCTCATGAATCAGTGATGATGTCTGTGCCTGGGCAGATCAAGCCCCCAAATCAGGAGACCTGGGGAGGATGGAGAATCTTGGAAGCTTGTCTTTTCAGTTATAATTTTCTCCTTAGAAGCACATGACTTCTCTTTCAGGTGAGATTCTTCCCCATGCTGTATAGGGTACAATAGGATCAAGCTGTCAGATCAAATCATTACCCAAGAGGTAATCAGAAGATGATGTAGGAAGATGGAGAAATCATTTCTTCATAGCACAGGTTCCTATTCCATGTGGTTATTATGGAGAGGCTACTGAACATGAGCAGACAAGGGAGATCCTGGAAAAGATTGGATGTTCTGAAAAGGTGTGTTCTCTGCAGATTTTTAAGATGAGATGACTCACTGGCTTTTTCTTTCTTTTTGATTATTCCAGAACGCTGCGATGACTGGGGACTAGATACCATGAGGCAGATCCAAGTGTTTGAAGATGAGCCAGCTCGCATCAAGTGCCCACTCTTTGAACACTTCTTGAAATACAACTACAGCACAGCCCATTCAGCTGGCCTTACTCTGATCTGGTATTGGACGAGGCAGGACCGGGACCTGGAGGAGCCAATTAACTTCCGCCTCCCTGACAACCGCATTAGTAAGGAGAAAGATGTGCTCTGGTTCCGACCCACCCTCCTCAATGACACGGGCAACTATACCTGCATGTTAAGGTAGCCTGATTCTTGGTGGTGACTTTCCCTCTTCCCTTTAGTTCCTGGGCTTTTATCTGGATGATGCATCTGTTGTGTAACTGGGGAAGGGAAGGAAACATCTAGAAAGAGTTACACCTTACCTCAGTGGCTTAGCAGAGGTTTCTTGAAAGAGGTGTGCAGAGAAAATGGTTGTGCTCCTGAGAACTTTTCTATTAGTGGGTTCTTTTTCAAACCCAGACACATACCAAGGTTATCTAATGGTGGAGCCTTGTTTATTTGTTCCTTTTCTCTCATATTAGAACCTGTCTGCCTTTCTGCCCCACCTGGAGGCAAGAATTTCCCTAGACAGTGAGCAAGGTGGAGAGCAGAACCCACCTTTCAAAGTCCTTGACACAGAATAAAGCCTTGGGATGCCTTATGGAAGAAAGAGTTTGGGATATATCTAAAGTGTTTTTAGAACAATACCTTTCAAACCTTTTCACCAAAATTCCCCTACAAAGCAAATAAACACCTTATCACTGGGAATCTAAGAATATAATCCAAAGTATCCCGCTAATCCTGCAAAATTTCTTTCAAATCCACTTTGTTTAATCTTGAAAGTTCATGTAGATTGTGCATTCTACTCTATAATAAACCTTTACTTAGTCTTGTATTACCACAGATTAATATTGTTTTTAATCCGGAAAAAAAAACTTTACCAAAAAAAAAAAAAAAAAAGGTCTCTCTGAAAAATAATGATTTCAAGGCTTAGATCTTTGGCTACTTTTTCCCCAAAGTCCCCTTTTAATTTCCAAGCCTTACTTTGTTTTGTTTTTTAAATTCCCACCTAGCTTATGGATTATGGGTTTTTTGTTTTGTTTTTTTTTTTTATACAGTGTCCTACTATTTAATAGGTGCAATGGTTTGCTAGGGCTACTAAAACAAAATACCACAACTGGTGGCTTAAATAACAGAGATTTGTGTTCCCTCAGCTCTGGAAGCTAGAATTCCAAGATCACAGTGCCAGCAAAGTTGTTCTCATTTATTTCTCCTTGGTTTGTGGATTGCCATCTTCTTTTTATGTCTTCACATGTTCTCCCCTGCTTCATCTCTGTCCTCATCTCCTCTTCTAATAAGCACATCAGTCATATTGGATTAGGGCCCACCATACTCATTTTACCTCAGTTACCTCTTTCAAGACTATCTCCATATGGTCACATTCTGACTTACTGAAGGTTAGGTATTCAACATATGAATTTGGGGGACACAATTCAGCCCATAACAGTAGGGCTGAATGGGGGCACTCGGGTGGCTCAGTGGTTGAGGATCTGCCTTTGGCTCAGGTCATGATCTTGGGTCCTACATCAGGCTCCCCACAGGAAGCCCTCTGCCTCTCTCTGAGTCTCTCATGAATAAATTAATAAAATCTTAGAAAAAAAACAATGGGGCTGAATGATATAACAATACAATAGCATAGAATAATATAATACTAGATAATCCCACACCATCTTCTGAATGCCCTATGTCTCCTCTGGATACTAACTATGCTCTGATGGAGAAATGTGCCTACATTTTGATACATTTAAGCTATGTTGCGATTAAGTGAAAAAGGACCTCTTTGTCACAGAAAGCATTTTCATCATTGTGGCCTTGGGAGTCCCTCAGAACCTCTGAAGGCCCTTTTGAGGTTTCCATCTGATTCTTTAGTTTTATTAGAGTAGATGCTAGACTGTTAGGCTTCCAAAGAGCCTTGTCCACTATTTATGTCCCAAGACAGCTTTGTAGGAGAGGTTAGGGCAGATTATAGTAGAAAGGACACCGAATGATTAGACACGGAAATTAGGCCATCATCCCAGCCCTGACACTACTCAGCTGGTGACCTTAGGCATGTTGGTCTGTGTTTGAGAGCTTTGGCACCTGTATCCACCCAGGGAGAAAATCAGCCTAAATCCTCCTTGAGCTCCTTTTCATCTTTGGCAGTTGTAAATCTGTTAACATTCAACAGGTGAACAACAGGAAATAGCTGGGAAGGGGTCACCAGTAGCTTTCCAGATGATCTTGTTCTCTGCATTTCAATGTTTCATCATCTCTACTTCTGTTTCCTAGTTGTCTAGAGCTCTTCCTCAAACTTTTCTAACCTTCTTTCACATTCCAGGAGCAGCATGGCTGTGAAGGCCTGAGTATTCCTTTAATGCTGTTTGTCAATTTCCAGATGGCCATCTCTTCAGTGTCCCTGTCTGCCTATCTTCTTTGTCCCTAAAGAAAATCCAGAAGTGAACTCTTGTGGGGCCACCAGGAGTTTCCCATTGCCCTGAGGCAATTCCTAAGTGGACCATGACCTTAAACTGAACTGTGTAAAATCAAAGGCCTGATGTCATTAGAGGCCTTAAACTAAGTTTCTGCCTCCCAAATTGTATCACTTGTATTCTTGCTTCAATACTTCACTTAAAATAATATCAAGATTTTACTTTTGAAGCTGGGAAAGTCAGTCCTGCCACTGACTTTCATTATTTTTTTAAGACAGAGAATATATCTCCTGAAGCTGAAAATTACCCCCTATATAATTGCCACCTGTAGAATACTACTTCCATCTGGTAGACCTTTTGCTACTTTTAGGGAATGATTATGGCTGCCATTCTCCCTTCTCCTCTTATTACCATTGTCATAAGCCATCTTTAAATATCCCCTCTTCCCATCTTGTGGAGGGAAATGCTCCCCCCCCACACACACACACTTTATTGTATTTAGTCTCAATTAATTAGTTAATGAGTGATTAATATATGTTTAACCTCTTAAATAGAAATTAAAAGGGTGGACAGTGAATGACCCATTTACTCATCACCTTAAGAAATCAGTTAATTTTATTATCTGTATTTCCTTTATTGTTTTTCTATATGTAGACACATATTTTATATCCATTCCATTCATTTAAGACACATTTATTCAGTGACAGTTTAGACACTGTACTACAAGCAAGGAACAATAGAAAGCACACATGGTCATGCCCCTGTTTGAACTATGATAAATTCAATCAAGGAAATGTCCGAGGTGCTCAGAGAATTGGAGGCCTAATTTAGAGATGGGCGCATAGAGGATGACTTTGAAAGCCTCTGTGTGAAAGGTGGAGTAATGGGAGGGGAAAAGCCCCTCCCCTCCCCAGGCAGACTAAAGGAAAGGACCTGTGTGGACATTCAAACGTAAATACAATTCCCCAGTCATCCTAAAATGTGAATATTTTCACATATAAAGAGTAGTTTATTGTGTCTGTTTTTATTTTGTAATATCAAATTGGTATAGGAGATACTTCCATAACACATTTAATTCTTATGTGAACTGAGGTGTAAATGAAGTCTCAATACATGACATCATTTCACTTAGCTCATTTTATTGTGATGGCTGCATCACATCAAATGCAAAGGAGATTGCCCACTTATTGCATATTTCTCTTTTCAGGAACACTACATATTGCAGCAAAGTTGCATTTCCTCTGGAAGTGGTTCAGAAAGACAGCTGCTTCAATTCCTCCATGAAACTCCCACTGCATAGACTGTATATAGAGTACGGTGTTCAGAAGATCACATGTCCAAATGTAGATGGATTCTTTCCTCCCACTGTCAAACCAACTATCACTTGGTACATGGTAAGCAAACTCAAGAGCATCTTATCATCTCTAAAATGGCAACATTTCTTTGTTGAGTTAATGTTGAAACAGATTTTTCTGGTCAGATTTTTATTTCTTCATTAATAACTTTATGCAAACCTTTTTCCACTTCTTCACTTTGTGCCATTTTTATTTATTTATTTATTTATTTATTTATTTATTTATTTATTTATTTATTTATTTTTGAGCCGTTTTAAAGGAAGTGGTAGAGGATACTTTCCCTCACTTCACCATTTCCTAAATTATATTCCCTGGACAACTAGAATTACCACGTTTCTATTAACTTCCTATGAGATACCACTTGAGAAATGCTTGTGCACTTCTACTCACTGCTGAGCAGGTCAGAAGCTGCTCACTTGTCTGGTGAATATCAACCCCTGGATTAGTCAACACTGGATTCTGTTATTTGTATGTGTTCTTGTATTTACTTTCATTTGTGGGCTTGGTCTATCTGTGGTCTCTTCCACATCTGAGGGACTTTGGAAAGTGTTTAATCAAAAAGTGTTGGGAGGTGGCACCTGTGGCAGCAGCCTTGGTTTTTAATATCCTCAAAAATCCACTTATGCCAAAGCTAAAATTCCTGGATAACATGTGGAACAAAACTCAGTGATGAATTGCCCACAAGAATCACTTTCAACGAAGTGAGCAAAACAAACCACATATAGAACCAGCATGTAGGAAAGGAGGCAGATGGAAGTAATGTGGTCTCTGGCAGACTAGAAAATAAGGAACCAGTGGTATTCACTGTAAAGTATGGTGGGCCAATGTGAGAACAGAGGCTGAAATCAGGGGAAGTTTTGCTCTCTAATAGAGGGTGAGTCCAAGAGGCCCATAGTAAGAAATTCTGAAGGGCCTGAGATTGTTCTAATGCCTCAGAACTCTGAAAAACTGCCACCCAACTGAGAACAAGTGGCTAGGAGTGTGATTGAAAGTAAACAGGATCAGGAAAATATAGAGGAAGGAAAGAGAAGGATCAGCTAAACATGGAAGAGCAGAATAGGCTCCGAAATTTGGAAGAGGGATCTCTGTGAAGTTAGAAAACCCTGCCAAATTCTAAAGCTCAGAAAAAGAGTTTTACCTAAAAATGAACAACAAAAAATAAACATGGTTAGGGGCACCTGGGGGCTCAGTTAGTTAAGAGTCCAACTCTTGATTTTGGCTCAGGTCATGATCTCTGGGTCATGAGATCGAGCCCCAGGTCAGGCTCCATGCTCAGTGCAGAACCTGCTTGGCATTCTCCCTCTGTCCCTCCCCCTGCTACAGGTGCTCTCTCACTTTAAATAAAGAAAAATAAAATAAAAAAAAGAACCAATGTAAAAACCCATTCAACTTTATAAGAAAAAGGAAAATAAAAAGCAGAAACACATTTCTACCAAAAAAGAAAAAGCATGCAGAAGGACATAATGTGACTTACTATTTCAAAAATGAGCTAAGAGATATTATGAAATGAGATGAGAAAGAATAACATAGATAAATAAGAATTCAAAAAATCCAGAAATTAGGGATGCCTGGGTGGCTCAGTGGTTGAGCGTCTGCCTTTGGCTCACAGAGTGATCCTGGGGTTCTGGGTTGGAGTCCCGCATTGGGCTCCCTGCAGGGAGGCTGCTTCTCCCTCTGCCTGTGTCTCTGCCTCTCTCTCTCTCTGTGTCTCTTATGAATGAATGAATGAAAGAAAGAATGAATGAATAAATAAATAAATAAATCTTTAAAAAATAAAAGAAAGTCCAGAGATTAGAAGGTTGGAAAGAAGGAAACAAATCATTTCAAAAAGGAAGCTAAAGCTAAGAGGGACAGAACCGCCAATGAATATGATAAATAATGCCTGAAGATAAAAGAAAGTGGAAGAGGGAAAGAATTTAAATTAGAAAATAAACGATGAATAAAAATAAGAGGGTTACAATGGCTATACTAGTAACACATAAAGTAGACTGTAGACAGTGAGTATTACCAGTGATAAAGAGGACTTTTTAAAAGGGCCAATTCATCAAGAAGTCATAAAAATAGTACAAGTATACATGCCTGACAGCAATGTGTCCAAATTCATGAAGCAAAAGCTGACAGATTTAAAAGAAGAAATAGGCAATTCATAATCATAGTTTAAAATGTTCGCATCCAACAGTTTGTCTTTAATGAAATGACTTAGGAGCCAACTTTGGAGTTTTCCATTGACCAATAACGGAACAATTTGAACTTCAGTAAGGCTGTTAATCACTATGGGTCGAATTTTATGAACGAAATTTAAATCCGTAAGTTCATAGTGATATTTCAGAGTAATTGGTCACATTTGGTGGATGATAGGAAATCAATTTGTTATCTTGAAAACTGGTAACGGGGAAAAAATCAAATATTTAGTCTGCCTCTCCTATAAGAAATGTCCACTGGGTAATGAAATAGTGTAGAGAAGTGTGTTTTTATAAAAGTATATAATCGTTTTGCAGCCCTTAATGAATTAATAAATCTTAGCATGGAGCACCAATGTCTGTACTATCATAAGAAAGGAAAGAGCTAGACATAGTCCTTATGAAAGAATAAAATATCACTTATAATTGTGCCAAATGGATTAAACCTGAGTCTGATAAAACCTTCGGATCCTGCTGCCATTTTGCAGGGTATATAGAGAACAGAGGAATGTATTAATCTATACCATGAGTTTGCAGTCAGCAAAATCCAGACTGAAAAATTCTTTTTTTTAAATCTTTTTTTTTAATTTTTATTTATTTATGATAGTCACACACACAGAGAGAGAGAGAGGCAGAGACATAGGCAGAGGGAGAAACAGGCTCCATGCACCGGGAGCCTGACGTGGGATTTGATCCCGGGTCTCCAGGATCGTGCCCTGGGCCAAAGGCAGGCGCTAAACCGCTGCGCCACCCAGGGATCCCCAGACTGAAAAATTCTATAGGCCAAATGTCCTGGGTTATTCAACAGGTAAATTACAGGAAAAAGAAAGACATGATGTGGGAATGTGTAAATTAAGAGAAACATGTAAGACGCATTTAACAATGCATGAGACTATAGTGTCTAAGGATGCACATGTAGGCGATAAGATCATAAATCAAAGTAAGAAATTGATTTTACTGTGAAAGTATAGATAGTGGCTACTTTGAAGGGGGTAGTGAAAGAGCTGTGACTGACATGGGCCATGTAGAAGCCTTCAGGGGTGGCTAGTAATGTGCTATTCCTGGACCTGAGGGTGCTTACGAAGGTATCTGCTTTATAATATGTGAACTCGTATATACATTTGAGTGTTTTTTGTATATATCATATGTTATAATAAAATGACTAAGAAAAAGGGAGGGAAGGAGGAGATAAAGAGAATGAGAGAGAGAGAGAGAGAGAGACTGATTTAAGATATAGAACAAGTTGCAATATATGGACCTTAATTAGATTGTGTTTTATTCAAACTATAAAACAAGTTATGAGAAAATCGGGGAACTCTGAACACAGAATATTGGGAATACAATGAGTTATCATTACTTTTTAAATTGTGATAACAGTACGATAGATATACTTGTCATTGGAGATACACGTAGAAATATTTACAAGTGAGTTTCTATAATATTTGTGATTTGCTTCGCAATAATTTTGGGGTACAATGAGTGGGTGTAGATGAAACAAGACCTAACCTGAATTTATACTTTTGAGGCTAGGTACAGGTACAGATGATCATTGTATATTCTTTGATTGTAATGTTCCATAGTAAAAAGCAAAAAAAAATGATTAAAAGAATAATTTTAACATCAATAAGTGTAATGTATTTTCCAATTTAAAAAATGTATTCTTCTATTTTCCTGCTATTGAGTTCTCATCTCTCACCTTGTTCAGTTTTCAAACCATTGAAAAATAATTTTTTAAAATTAATTTTCATTGAAAATAATTTTTAAACCATTGAAAAGATAATAATTTGATTTCCTTAAATATTCTGTAATTTTCCTTCCTTTTTTCTTGATGCATTACCTATCTGGAATGCCCCTCTTCTTTCTTTAGAATTACCATCTTTAGTCTACCATCTTTCCAGCTACAAATAATCTTTTCCTAAATCTTTTCCTATAATCCCACAGCTACTTATTTATGCTTATGTCTTTTCACATCCTTATTTTTTATGCCACTTTTCACATCCTTTATTGTTTTAGGATATTGTTTTATGTATACAGTTATCCATGTATACATTCAACAGCTGCTGAAGATCAGTTGTATTCAATGCCATATATGTCGGGGGGTTGGGGGAACACAGTGATGAATGAGATATATGTCCTACCCTCCATGGTTCCCAAAAGATTAGACAAGTTTATAAATATGAATTCTCATTCTTATAAAAAAGTAGAATTCTTAGTTCTACAAGAGTGCCAAAGAGAGTTAATTGTTGGTTCTAAGAACAGGGGAAAATCTCACATGCATGTACCCTATGAGTTGACTACTTCTTGAGGGTGAAGTTATGGCATACCCATCTCTATATCTTCAATGATTTCCAGATTTTTGGTTTTCCTGATTGGATGAATGTTGGTGCTATTAACCAAGATATGAAACAGCAGAGAAGGAACAGGTTTGGGGGCATGTAATGGATTTCGATAATATCATATGGTGTTAGAAGTGTCTGTGAGATAGCTAGGTAGCAGTGACCTGTAGATCATGGCCTCATGTGTATGGGTCTGAAGCTTAGAAAAAAAATCAAAACTGGAGACAGAGAGTCAGATGCATCTATCTGACAGTTGAATCCCTTAAGAAGAAGATAGAGAAAAAAAGAAAAAAAGAAGAAGATAGAATAAAATGATAAAGGAAAAGGGCTAGGTCAAAATCTAGAGAGAATGTTCATGGGGTGAAGGAAGGCAAGAAGCCTAGAAAGAAGATCAAGGAAAAAAGTCATAGCAGTGAAACCATTGCCATGGTGGATACCCAACAATGTGCAGGTGACTAAAAAGGACAACTAATAATCAGACATCCTTCCTATTTTATGATTATGAAGAGGTTGCTATTGATGA